CCCCCCCCCGCGGGCCCCAGCCGATTTTCTCTCACCACCACTGGAACGGGACGTAATCGTCGTCGTCCGACAGGAAGAAGTCTGGCAGATTCCAGGAGTACTTGGCTCTCCGGGGAGGGCCGGCGGTGCGGGGCGGCCGGCGCTGGCTCCCCCGCCGGGAGCGATGGGCATTGGGCCTCGGTTTCCCTTGTGGGACGCCGGCGGCGACAGAGCTGGCCCACTGGCCAGGGGCCGGGGCGGTGTCGGTTTGGCGGCGAAAGCGGGGGGGCAGGACGCGGGCGGGGAGGCCGGCATAGAGGGGCTGAGATTGGGCGGGGAGGGGGATCGGTGCCGGGGCCTTCGAGGGGGCCAGCCGGAGGCGGGGGTCCGTGCCCACGGCCCAGAAGAAGGGCAGGAGGCGCTCCCCCCCGAAGGAGGCCAGGCGGAAGGTGAAGACGGGGGACTGGCGCTCCGGGTCGGAGAACGTCACCCGCCCCCCGGCGTAGTCCAGCGCCACCCGGATCCGGGCGGGGGCCGCGCTCAGCGACAGGGGGGTTTCCTCCGGCGCGGTGAGCGCCAGGTACTGCCCCCGGCGCAGCGCCACCCCCCAAATCCCGCCCGCGGGGCTGTAGGTGACCGGCCCCTTCCTCGGCACCGACTCCCGGGCCACCCCCACGGCCCAGCCGCCCCCGGCGCCCACCTCCACCTCCCAGCAGCGCCGCCCGACGGAGAAGCCCTCCCGGCCCAGCACGCAGAGGGAGGCCTCGAAGCGCTTGGGGCTGGGGGGCAGAACTCGGGGGGTGTTGCTGTAGCTCAGGCTTTTCCCGTCCCCCGACAGGGCGAGTTTGGGGTGGGCCGTGTCCGGGTCCAGAGTCACGTCCGCTGGGGAGAGAGAGAGGGAGAATAGGGCGTTAGGGGGCCGAGCTCCGGATGCAGCCGTGCCCCCCAGGGGGTACACGGGAGGGAGCCCTCCCGCCCCTTGAGCAGGCTGCCTGCTTTCACCCCGGGCTTCGGACAAAGCAGGCGCCGAGTCAGGAGACAGGACCACACCAGGCAGGTGCAGTGACGGGTTTTTCCCTGCTCTCCAATATCTCCAGGGACGGAGACTCCACAACCCCCGTAGGCCACTTATTCCAGTGTTTCACCCCCGGGACAGGCACGTCCAACCTCCACCTTCCCGTCTGCAGTTTCAGCCCCTTGCTCCGGCTCCGCCAAAACATACCCGGCTCGCCTCCGTCCTCCAGGTCCTCCACGCAAAACTGGCTCCCTTCCAGTGCCAGGTTAAATATCACTGTCTCTGGAGAGAAGCCGCCGGAGGAGAAATAAAAAAAAGAGGGTTTTGCAGAGTTTCACAACAACGATGAGGTTTTCGTACAGGGCACGAGGTTCGTTTGGGTCCCGCGAGCACAGGGGAAGGGAAACAACGTGAAGAGAAAACAACGTGAAAAGTGGATTTCATTCCTGTCGGGGTTAAGTCTCTTCTCTGTCATCTTGGTCCTTCCCGGGAACGGATCAAGGGGTGGGAATGTGCACTCAATTCATCGATGAGCATGGGCGGATCAGTTAACAGGCACGGGTTATGTGCAGGCCACCCTCCCCTGGATGTGTAAATGTGTCACCGCTGAATAAAGGCATTTTAACGTCCCTAATCACATCCAACACAGGCAGGTCTACAGTGAAGGAGAGAGGCACCAAGAGAACAAGAGCTCTGCCCACTGGTGTGTTTTACTCTAGGACACCCAGGGGAAGGGAGCCCAGGGATCCGGCAACCAGACGGTTCAGCCTTGAAGCCGCCTGCTGGAGGTGTTGCTACACCCTGCCACGCAAACCATAGAGAAGTCCTCCAAGAAAGCCAGAGGGGCCCAAAGGACCCAGCCAATCAGGGCCCAGCAAGCCGGTTAAAAGGGAGCAGCTGGGCCGGGGGGAGGCAGTTCCTCCCTGGAGCTCAAGAGGTGGAGCCAGGGTGACGGACGCTCGTGTGACGTCCCCTTACAGGCCCAGGGCGAGAAACGAAGGGAGACAGCAGAATTGATGAATTTTTTTCTTTCTGTTGTTCGTTCTCTGCTGTCCAGTCCCTTCCCGGGAAGGGCCCGTCTCATTCTTCACGTGTGTTGAGTTGGGCAGGACCCCAAACACGGTTCCGCCTCCGCTCCCGCCGTCCCATTTCGGTTTCCCCCCCGCCCCCGCTACTACAGGCCCAGGGCGAGAAACGAAGGGAGACAGCAGAATTGATGAATTTTTTTCTTTCTGTTGTTCGTTCTCTGCTGTCCAGTCCCTTCCCGGGAAGGGCCCGTCTCATTCTTCACGTGTGTTGAGTTGGGCAGGACCCCAAACACGGTTCCGCCTCCGCTCCCGCCGTCCCATTTCGGTTTCCCCCCCGCCCCCGCTACCTTTGCATTTCCTCAGCGTTTCCTCCAGCGTCGCCCTCTTCTGGGAGAAATCGCCCAGGCTCTGCGCCAGCTGGGACGGGCTCTCCCCCGCCTGCGGGGCCGGGGCTCCTTCGCACCTGGGGGGGGG